TTACCTTTATCAACTAATTTTTTTTCCTGTAGTCTCTATTCTTTTAACTCTCCAGTAGTCGCGTACACCTCTATATGAGATGCCACTGGACAGGAAGCTTGATATTACCCGAGAGCTATTTCCACCCGGCCATTGGCATGGAGAGCAGTGGGACGACGAGGCTGAGCTCAAGACACGAAAGGCTCCGGAACTCGATGGAATACCACCAGAAGCGGTGAAACGCATTGGCAGTATGGAGCCGACGTGGCTTTTGGACCACATGAATGTACTGCTTAAAACTCAGCGATTTCCGGCAAATTGGAAGATCTCGAGACTCGTGCTACTCACAAAGGGGGAAGATAAGTATCGACCTGTTTGCCTTCTGTCGTGCATAGGTAAATTATACGAGAGGCTCCTAAGAGGGCAAATAGACACAGTGATTGAAGAGTCAGGCGGGCTGTCACCCAGGCAGTATGGTTTCAGAAAGAACAGGAGCACGGTGGATGCGCTGATGGAAGTCTTCCGCGAGTTATGCGGACGTGACGGCTGGAGTTCCGCAGGGGTCGGTCCTAGGACCCACGTTGTGGAACTTGGCGTATAACGGGGTTGTGAGCCAACAATACGGGGAGGGTGTAACCCCTTTCGCATTTGCGGACGACCTCGCTATGCTGGTAGTGGCGCGGGACAGGGAGGACCTTATCTTTGGTGCACAGCGTACATTCCACCAAGTCGAGGAATGGATGAAAATGCATGAGCTAGAACTGGCTGCTGGTAAGCCCGAGGCTATAATTCTCAAGGGACCAAGGAAAAGGGAAGGGATAACTTTTGAATGTGCAGAAAAGAGAGTGGTTCCAAAGAAATTCGTGAGGTATTTAGAGGTGACTCTGAGTCAAAACGGAAAGTGGGGGAGCACACAAAAGCGGTGACTCAGAGAGCTGCGGTGAGATCCGCCGCATTGGGAGGGATCATGCCCAATATCGGAGGGCCCAAAACTGAGAGGAGGAAGGCCCTTTCTGTTGTGCAATCGATCGTCCTCTACGCTGCGCCTGTCTGGAGTTCTGCAGTTTTAACAAAGGCGTACAGAAAGCAGTTCACCCGAGCAGATAGTAAGAGTCTATTGAGGGGAGTTATCACCGGGTGTATTCCGATGCATGTGCTAGTGAATGAAAGAGGAAGAATATACGAGAGAAGAAATGAAGACATAGCAACAGAACGTTTAAGAAAAGAAGAAAGGGAAAGGTCCATAATGGTGTGGCAAGAGGAATGGGATGAGATGAGAAGGGTGGCGCAGTGGACGAAGTCGTTGATTCCTAATCTGAGAAGATGGATGGATTGCGGGCACCTGCGTTTGGATTATTTCCTGACGCAGATGTTCACAGGACATGGTTGCTTTAGGGCATACCTTTACAGATTTGGAAAGGCAGAAAATTGCAAATGCCTGTATTGTGAAATATCGGACACTATCTTACATACTATTGGTATGCGATAGATGGATAGGTGAGAGAGAGCTAGGAAGTAGGGTGCAAACAGTCACGGAACTGGTGGAGGAGATGCTTAGAGATGTGGAGAGCAGTTCAGAGATATGTGAGGAGAACATTGAAAAGAAAGAAACAAGAAGAAAGGCGACCCGAAGGTAGGCTAGAATGTGTGAGAATGGTGCGTGAATGAAAGATTGGGTGAATGCTGTGCCGATGTTGCGTCCCAAACAGGGCGATCCGGCCGGTAATTCACCGCTGAGGAGAGTGTTTTTTAGCAGGTAGGTCTCTGGCATTGACGGCGATGGTGTTCGAACAACCCTGGAGGAGTCCTGCATAACCGAGGCTGGAAGGCGGTTCTGCCCATCTTCTAGGACCGAGGTATGTTTCGAACATTTGGACCACCCCCCTCATAAAAAAAACAATGACAAAGACACTGTAAATATCTATAAAAACCCCAAATATGCTTGTAAAAGTCCGCCGCTTTAGGAGTTCGCTTCATTTGACCTTTCATCGAGACTGGCGGCACCGTTAGTTAGTGTCATATTGTTCGGTCGGCAGTTAATATCGGCCTCAGGCACTGACGCAACTACTTACGCACTATCGTAAACACTGAACACAAACAAGGTAATTAAATTATAACCGTTATCTTATAATTTTAGTATTTGTAGATGAATATTGATGAAAAAGAACATCAGCGACTTCCATATTTGTTTAAATCAGCCGTCACAGACACTGAGCAGTCAGACTATAATTCTGACAAATATAAGATTTCCAGTTTAGCAAATTATTCTTTCAACCACATTGTCGACAAAGATGAAGAATATTTAGATTCCGAGTCAGACTGTTATGAAGCAGATTGCATTGAGGAACCTCTAGGAGCTTATGACTCAGAGGGAGAAACTAATATCGCATATTTCGAGCCATCAGCTAGCAATACTGTAAGTTTTTTTGTAAGGATAGGTAAATAAGATGAAAAAAAAAATATCTCCGTTACCCAAAAATACCAAGGGCCAAGTATATACACAACAAACTTGAAAACTCCCATATAATTGAAATAATTAATACAATTTTTTTACATACTAACGAAATAATTGAGAGTAATCAAGCAAATTTTACAAATTTAGATGAAATTTATGCAATTCTGGGTTAACTGTATTTAGCTGAAAAGATTAAGGCGAGTCATCTCAATTTGGATGATTTATGGAAAGCTGACGGATCTGGAATAGAAATTTGACGTCTCTTAGAAGATTTAGGTTTTTGATGTGATTTTTGTTAAAGCTTCTCGTCAGTATCGATTAAAACAGAATGAACTTGCTGCAATCCGACATATTTTTGATTTGTTTGTATAACGATATCATAATTCGGCATTTGTCACAATTGATTTCGTGGGAAACATAATTTCCGTCAGTATTGTTACGTAAAAAAATATATGAGTCATATTAAAAACCGTAAACATATCTATTACTAATATTCTGTTCATTCACGATTTTTCTAGGTATTACCTACCTGACAGACCATAGGTTCCCCTCCGCTATAAAAACAACCATCTAGCTCTCTGGAGATGAGTCTATGTAAAAATACCAGTTTTTTTTAGGCCATTCGCCGCTCCGTCTACGTCGAGAATGCCATCGAACTTTCGACGATGTCCCAATGGTTTCATATAAATAACGGGGATTTTCATTGAGGAAGGCAGTCAAAAGAAGATATCGCGATCGGGCATTTTAAAATGTAACGCAAATTATTGTAAGATAAATTGATATAAATAAACTTTAAATAAATTAAGGTCGTAAGTGTTATAAATATTGAACCTTTAGTAAATTAAAATAAGAACAATAAATTAGAATTAATAAAGACTTTACAGTATATCCTGTCGAAACCAAGCAAATACACTATAAAAGTTTTAACAATGTGTGACGTTAAAATGTTCTATTCCAGTAATTCGGAAGTGTATGTTGGTCTTCAACCACAAGGACCTTCTAAACTATCAAACGGCGCTCGAGGTGTTGTCATGAGACATTCGCAGAGAATTCAAAGAATTTTATCAAAAAAAATTGAAAGCTATAGGCACTATCCGCAAAAATATGCGAGAACTACCCTTGGTGTTTACTGTTCCTGCAACAAGACTACCAAAGTCTAGCATGTTTGTATTTCACCGTGAATGTACACTTCTATCATACATGCCTAAAGCAAAAAAAGAATGTGTTACTTTTGTCCACGATGCATCACAATGATGATTGAGATTTAGGTACAGGTAATCTTTTGAAACTATTAATAATAACACAATATAATTCCACAAAAAATGGTGTTGATATAGGGGACAAGCTAATGGCAAACTATAACTGTGCTCATGCTACCTGAAGGTAGCATGTAATATTTTATGCGATAACGAATATCGCTGGTATAAACAGCCAAATTATTTACGTGGCTAATAATCCGAATGTTAAAATGTTGAGAAGAAATTTCAGTCATAATCTATCATATGAACTTTTTACTCCAAATATGCTGAAAAGGTCAAATTCGCCATATATTCCAAAAAGGATGCGGTTATGTCTAATAGAATCAACAATTCAAGATACTACCGAAGCTCCAGTTGAAAGAGCGCAAATTGGAAGAGGCAAATTTTGTGAATCTCTGAAGAACCGAAAAACAAAATATATGTAGATGCAAACATTGCGGTATTTTTTATGTTTAGAACACTTATATTTAGCATATGTAAGGACTGTAAATAATCTAGTTTATCTTTGTATAGCGTTTTTTAGTAGTTTGTTGTGGCAATGTTTTTTCATTTTTTTTAACTACTCGGTTTTAGAGGTGAATCTTCTTTGCGTTTTGTTGATTCTTTCGTAAATTTAATTTAAATAAAAACTGGTTTAAAATATGTAGTGCTATAATTTTTAATCTTAAAAAGTTAACCAATAGTAAGTAATTACCGATTTGTTTACCCAGCTAAACCAGTCTCAGGGACTGACGCGACTATCCCTAAATTTATTCGCGCGAAAAATTGAAAAGGCAAAATGTAACAAATGTAAAAAGTAATGTGGCAGGTTAAAGAAGAAATAGATGCATATATTATGTGAGTATTTGATACACACGTAACAGGAAAACTTAAATGAGATGAGAAGAAAAGAAAATAAGTGTCAAAGAAAATGAGAAACCAAATTACTTTTCTTTTGAGTTTTCTCATCAACAGCTTAAATAAAACTATGTATAAAAGCATAAAAGGCAAGGTTAATATTTTTTATAATCCCAGTAATACATTATTCTGCAACTTTTGATTTCATTTGACCTTAAATCAAAATTTAGCATTGAGTATAAATAAATATGTTAAATCGCATGCCAAGGAACTAAAACATTATAGGGAATACATTAAATAGCACTTATCTTAATTTATCAACCAACAACATTCGCAATTACTTAACCAATTATTTGAATTGATATAAATTGAAAAATATTTTGTCTGTAATATTTCAATAATTAATTAAAATATGCACAAATTTAAGTTGACGCAATTTCGAAATCGACAACGCCGCGCGCGGCTGTCACTTTCGAGACACATGACAGCTAAATGATTAGATCAGATGTTTATAATTTCTCCAAATTTTGAGATTAAAATGGTGATATTTTAAATACGATAAAAGTGTCACACATTGATGACAATGTATAAATCATTAATAAACTTAAGTAAAAACGTAAGGCTAACAATTATTTTTATTAATAATGAATATATTATCATTTGATCATTTCAGGAACTTAGAAGTATAAGACAGAAATCTAGTCTGGAAGCTCTAAAGGAACGAATTAAAAATGGTCCCGCTTTGCAAGAATTTATCGAAAGCACTGATCCAGTACTAAAAGAGGATCCAGCTACTTGGGCAGGATATGAGGGCAAGTTAAAACGCGAGAAGGGAGAAGAAAAAAGATTAAGATTACCTCCTTGGTTAAAAAGAACCATACCCACAGGAACAAATTACAGTAAAATCAAAGACCAATTGAGAAACCTTAACTTGCATACTGTGTGTGAGGAAGCCAGGTGTCCTAATATAGGTGAATGTTGGGGTGGAGGGGAACATGGCACTGCCACAGCAACAATAATGGTAAAATTATAATATAAAATATACATAATTGATTAAGGACGAATTTTTTATGTTTAGTTGCTGGGTGACACATGTACAAGAGGGTGTAGATTTTGTTCTGTCAAAACTTCAAGAACACCTCCTTTGCCAGATCCAAACGAGCCTGAAAATACTGCTAAAGCAATTGTTTCGTGGGGACTTGACTATATTGTTTTGACTTCTGTTGATAGAGATGGTGAGTTTGGATTTGACTCTAGTATTATTAGAATTCTATATCATGTGCATGTGTTATCATACATAAAATGTTTTCTTTTCATAGATTTACCTGATGGTGGATCAAATCATTTTGCAGAAACTGTAAGAAAGATAAAGCAACAGTAAGTAAATGTAAAACTAGTCGACAATCTATGACTTAAGCATTTTGTTATTTTAGGAGCAATACTATTCTTGTTGAATGTCTAGTACCAGATTTTAGGGGCAATTTAGACCATGTGAAGATAATTACAGAAAGTGGATTAGATGTATATGCCCACAATGTCGAAACTGTTGAACCCTTAACCCCATATGTAAGAGACAGAAGAGCTAGATACAGGTAGGTCAATATTTGCTCCTTGTTTCAAATTTACAAAAAACTATTTTCTATTACAGACAATCACTGTCAACTCTACAAGCTGCTAAAGAATTCAACCCGAATCTCATAACCAAATCATCAATAATGTTGGGTCTAGGTGAAACAGACTATGAAGTAGAGCAAACCCTCAAAGATCTAAGAGAGCATGACGTGGACTGTGTGACTTTAGGCCAATATATGCAACCAACCAAAAGGCATTTAAAAGTTGTAGAGTATGTCACTCCAGCCAAGTTCCAACACTGGGAGAAAGTGGGAAAAGAACTTGGTTTTCTGTATGTAGCTAGTGGTCCCTTGGTCAGAAGTTCCTACAAAGCTGGAGAATTCTTTATAGCTAGTATATTAAAGAATAGGAAGACCAGTACAGCCCAGTGAGGTGCTAGAAACTATAAATAGAGATGTTTAAATTAAAGTTCATTTGTAAATAAACTAAACTGATTGTATTAATTGTTTCTAAACCCTTTTATAGTCAATATGATGGTATTAGTACAGATCTCTCTCCAGTATCACTACATTCATAACATAGTTCATCAAACTCACATTTTTACATATATTTAAAATTACGAACCAGATACCACAATATAACAGTGATTCAGTGCTATGCTCCTACAAACACATCTCACCGAAGACATTTTCTATGAACAAACAACCCAACAAGTAAACCAAGGCGATATACTAATAGTGATGGGTGATATGACCTGCCAAAGTTGGAGAAGACAATATTAACTTAGAAACTGTAATGTTTATTGTAATGTAAAATACAAAGTTTAATCAGTATTAATTCATTATATGACTTTTCCACTTTTTATGAATGGTTCAAATGGAGCTAGTTTAAGATGTAGTTCGTATCCTGTGGTTAAATCTGATTTTGTTAGTCCATTTTCTATAAAATATATTTTTGTCACAGTTTCCTCAAAGCGATTGCACATTTCTTTTACTTTGATTCTTGTAATTTCACAATTAATGCTCAATTTTCAAAATACTAAATAGCTACAAATTTTCTGTGAAAATATATTTTCAGATAGGTAAGCTAAGATTGGCTAAGGTAAGCTAAAAGAAACACTAAAAGTAGAAAGTAAAATCCGGATACAAAACGAATTAACGGGAAACAATAGATGTGAAGAAGGGACTACGCCAAGGAGACGCTCTATCATGCATATTATTCAACATCATACTTGAAAAAATAATAAGAGACACAACAGTTAATACCGAGGAACAATAATTAATAAAAGCGTGCAAGTACTAGCATTTGCAGATGATGTTGATATAATCGCAAGATCAAGAAGAGAAATGATAGAGGCATTCACTCAAATAGAACGAGCTGCAAAAAATAGTGGTCTTAAAATCAATCAGACAAAAACAAAATATATGCCTGCAAATAAAAACGCACAAATAAGGCAGCTGCCAAATTTAACAATAGGAGAATACAACATTGAGGCGGTAAAAAACTTTACATACTTAGGATCCCTAGTTACGTCTGATAACAACGTTGCAGAGGAAGTGAAGAGGAGAATATTTATTGCCAATAAATGTTACCATGGCTTAATTAGGCAACTAAGATCAGATAACGTCTCCAGAAAAACAAAATGCCAAATATACAAAACCTTAATAAGACCGGTACTCACATACGGTTCAGAAACCTGGACACTCTCTAAAAGGGAGGAAACGTTATTAGCCACCTTTGAAAGAAAAATCTTGCGACACATATATAAGGGCACAAAAGAAAACGGGATTTGGCGGAGAAGGTATAACTTTGAACTATACAACATATACCAGGATCCGGATATCATAACATTCATTAAAATAGGAAGGCTACGTTGGATTGGACATGTGGAAAGAATGGAAAGAAGGCGAAATACCAAACAAAATATCAAACAAGTTGCCAGTAGGAAAAAGAACAAGAGGAAGACCGCAGCTGAGATACGTAGAACAAATAGAAAATGATATAACAACATTAAAAATTAAAAACTGGAAAAAAAAAGCACGAAACGGTCAGATGGAGAAGAATCCTTGAACAGGCCAAGACCCAAAAAGGGTTGTCGAGCCAGTGCATGATGATGATGAAGCTAAGATTGGATGATGTTGATTGGTGTAAAGTAGGGAGTTTTCTTAGAATGCTCATATCTATTGGTCTAAACCTCTAATGTATCCTATTTAGGTAAGATGATTTCCTTGAAATAATTTTCATCATAAATGGGGAAGAAAAATAAAAGAACTAATAAATACTACTAATGTATTAACAAATTTTACTAATAAACTAAAATATGTCTGTTCCTGTCTGCTTGGCTTTGTTTTTTGCCTCTTCAGCTGTAATTTTTTCTTCCCTTGAAGGTTCTAAAGGCTGGCCATCATCTGTAAGCTTTCCCTCTTTAAAATCTTTTGCTATTTTTGGAGCATATACTACATTAAATAAATCTTCAGCTGTGAATTCTGATTGAAAGACATCTGGGGCTCTGTAGGAGACATATGGTTTCAACTAAAAAACAAAAAGTGTTGGTATATGATTTTTACTTAATTAACATTTGATTAACAAGCACCCCTTATTTCTGTATACTTTATGAAATCGAAAGTATTACAGTACCTGACAGTTCCTCAAATCTGGTACTATTAATTCTGGTATTCTTTCTGGAATGGTAATAAATTTGTCTCCTTCCTGATAACCAACGTCCCGTACGCCTCTTTCTGAAATTCACTTACTTAATATGCTAAATTATTTAGTCTAAATAATACTAACTGTGAATAGGGACTTCAGGGTCTGGATTTTCCATTTGTTGTTGTTTGAAGATTCTAGTTCCTCTTTTATTATATATGGAAAACTTCTTAAAATTTCTTTTACCATATCTTATACTGGTTGTTGATAAGCTTCTTTTAATAAAAAAATTAACTGAAGACATTTCGCCAATTTTAAAGTTCCTTTAATATTACGTTAAGGTTATGTTACTTCTATTTCTTCTTTTTTTGTTCATAACTTTTTGAAACATTTTCAGTGGTCGTTATTTTCTACTCGTTGGCAATCTTGGACGATGCAAGCGATTCTACGGTTGGGTGACAATAATCACAACTAAACGGAAAACTACGGTTTCCTGACAAAATAAAGGTAGTCTTCGTGATTTTCAAATAAAGCAAACGTACTGCGTGATTCATAAGCTTGTATCTGTAGTGTAAAAATTTTTCTACAAAGCTGGCGAAGATGGTTTTAGCAGAGAAAAATAGTGAAAACATTCGGAACGGTAGAAGAAGTCGGGGACCAAGCCCCAATGGTCACGTACAAGCAGATTCCACCAGCGAGGACGAGAGTAGTGGTAAGCTTGCATTTTATAGGCCCCCTTTAACTAGTACCATATATTTTATGCTTAATCCTTCCCTTTAATATATCAAAAGGCACTGATTTTAACTCACTGTTTTTATAGTACCAGTAGATAAAATTAGAGTAGGACGTGACTATCAAGCAGTGTGTCCAGAATTACAACCTGAAAGTCAAAGGAAGCCCGAGCTTTTGGCTGATAGAGCTTTACTAGTATGGTCACCAACAGAAGCTATCCCAGAATCCAAACGTGAGTATTTTACATATTTTTTTAACTCAATACAGCCGCCCCCTAGTTTTGTGTTTCACATGTAACCCCTCTTTTTGGGGCGTGGAGGGACATTGCAATAAAGGGCATGTATGATGAAGTTATAAAGTTGTAAAAATATGTACATTACTTTTGATTGTTTTTAGAAAATTTAGGTGTAATATTATTTTTATGTTCATGAAATATGAATTAAAAAAATATTAGACATATTTCATCTATTGTTTTCCTAATCTAAAGGTTCAAAGTACTTGCATTGTAACTGTTATTTTTTATCACTAATATATCTAGTATTGATAGATTAAAAAGTTATAGAGCTGTTGCACATTTTTAGAAAGGTATATAAACTTACAACAGATAAAGAAGAGGTTATGGATCTATATCTCTTTCATAGGAGTTACTAGAAACATTCAATGGCTGTTATCTTAGAATATAATATTTGTGTATTTCTTCCGCCTTTTTCTCATATATTTCGTATACTGACCCCACATGGGGATAAAGACAAAGCGAATAAATATACTTTTTTCATTGATTTCTCGATTGTTGCATTCACATTATCTCTTCACATTCTATTATATTCACTCTATTTGACATATTGGGCTTTCAACGTTTCTATTATATTGCTGAATTATTTGCCTTCATGCACAAATATAAGGTTATTTTAAAAACATTTTATTTATCTTATTGCATTTTTTGGGAAATTTTTAGGATTGGTAATGACTCAGTTAAATTAGAAATTAAAAAATTCTTGTGTTTGTGCCATGGATCAAATCTGGGAAATCAGGTTTGGTAAACTAGTATCATAGCCACTGATTTATGACCACCTCTTACTTATTGATTGTTGATGTTCTGTTGTCCCTGAAAATACTCTTTCTGATGCAATTTTTTTTCATTCTTTGTAATTGAATTCAGTTTTTTACCCCTTTTAAATCACTGTTTTTTGTTTCAGTTTAGAGAGTTTCTTTGGTAAATTCTTATCAGGTGATAATAGTTGTTTATACATTTATTTAATGTTCAAAATTTTATGTTTTTAACTTTTAGTAATGACTAGTTATTTTCCATGATTTATTGTATCTAAATCAGTTAGTTTTTATCTTGTTCTAATTTTCACATTTTTAGTCCACTTTGATGTTTTTTAACTACAAATTTGATTATTGGTAATTCTTTTTATTGTTTTATGAAGTTATATTTTTTGTCTTTACTTTATTATCTGTTATTCATTTTATTTATTGATCTACTCTTCTTTGGTTCTTTTATCATTATTAATTCTCGCAAGGTAGTTTTGTTAGTTGTTTTTACTCTTATTTAATATTCGCTGGATAATTCTCCTGTAATGTTATAATCTAATGATTTTAGGTTGTGTGTCTTAGAGAAACATTTATGGCTGAGGAAGCAATTGTTATTTTTTATCTTACACTAACTTTTTAAAATTCTTTCAGTGGAAGACTATATAGTCCTGGCCAAAGATAAGTATGGGTATAATGGAGAACAAGCCCTCGGAATGCTCTTCTGGCACAAGCATGATTTGGAGAGGGCCATGCTGGATTTAGCAAACTTCACACCCTTTCCAGATGAATGGTCTGTGGAAGATAAAGTTCTCTTTGAACAAGCCTTTCAGTTTCATGGAAAGAGTTTTCACAGGATACGCCAAATGGTAAATATTTAGGCATATTTCATTTTTTGTCCTCTTAACATAACAATAAGTGAATATCTTAAAATTCCTTTCAGTTACCTGACAAAACTATAGCCAGCTTGGTAAAATATTACTACAGTTGGAAGAAAACTAGATCTCGTACTAGCTTGATGGACAAACAGGCCAGAAAATTGAACACACCTAAAGAAGAAGGCGCCCCATCAGAAGCAGGTTCTGAAAATGGTTCCAATGACGAATCTGATCATGAGGATAAGGTAGGCATTAGTTTTGATTTGGTTGATGGCATGGGTATCATAGTTGTATGCATGAACATGTTTTTAACTAATGTAATAGGTTTATATTTCTACAGGGTCTATCAGTGTTACAGAAAATCCTGGATCTTGGTTGAAATCATTTAGTAATTAAATTTATATCTAGTATGACCATTTTCTGTCATCTGTTAACACTCAGTGTTTATGCATAACAAAATAATTTAGGTACCACCATAAAAAATAATCAAGTATTCATTAAGGCAGTAATAGAGAAAAGATGGAAATAATGATGATCCATGCAAGGAAGAAAAAAATATAAATGGAAAATCCCCTAAGAAGAATTAAAATGACGATAAATAAAGAAATCTTGAGAAAGAAAGAAAACAAAAACATGGAAAACAGACAAAGAGCAACAAAAGAGAGAAAGAATGGACATAGAAAACTTTTTTATGTTTAATGTAAGGAAGAATGCAAAACATATGCAGAAAAACATCCAAACAGGAAGTAAGAAATTGACCATAATGTTTAATGGTATATTTCTTTCAGAAACCTATGACATGAAGTTGGGAGGTACATTTATTACAAATTCCTGATATTTTCTTATAACTTTAATATACTTTAGGAGTCAAATGCTCATAATGATTCTAAAAACACAGACAATTAATTAAAGCAAATTTTGCTACCACTTGTTGGTACCATGCAACTTTTCATATTTTACTATTATCAAAAACTATTTCTTAACCCATAATGAGTAGTATGAGGAATGAATTATCGATGCATATATAAATTGTCAGCAATAAATACAAGAATATAGTGCTGTTTTAAGGTATGTTTCATTCACAGAGTGTATACGAGCCCCTTCTAAACACAGTTGGTTAACGTAACATTTTGTAAAAACTTGTTTTTAAAGATCTATATAATGAGTACTCAGTGAACTTCATTTATTTTTATTTGTGTACAACTAACTACCTAACACAAACGGCAGTTGTTAAATCAGTAAAACTAAAGTTTTAAAAGATAAATGCAAAAAAATGTGCAACATTGACACATAATCGATTTGAAAGTTTACCAGAGGTTGATAAAATTAGAGGTAACATCACTTCTCTTCTTTTTGACCTGAAAAATCTTTGAGGCATAGTTTTAACCAAGACTCTGCAAAATTCTAGTTTATGGGAATTTCAGATGTCTTAGAGTCTGTGCTTCAATTCAGAGATTATTCTGGTGAGATGAGTAGAATCAATTTTTTCATCTCGCACCACAAACTTTCTATAGGAGGCAGGCCGGGACTATTAGGTACCACTTTCAAAAGCGGTATGCTACCCATCCATTTCAAACTCCTCTTTAAGGTATTGGCAACCTGCACCATCCTATCAAAGCACAAAATTTTCACCTGATGTCAAATGTTCTTCCATAATCAGTAAAATTAATTCTTCTAAAATGCCCAAATATTTAATGTATCTAAAATTCCTTCAACAATATGAATGCATGCACTGATGCAGGAACTTTCACTTTTTCTAAGACAGTTAGGATGAAACACATGTTTCCTGTGAATAATCCCACTTCAACTGTCTCCTTAGATCTTAGACTAGACTCCTATTTTTTACTCCATTTTTCTTTTGTTGTGATGTCAAAAGTGGCTTTTCTTTAGCGTGCAATAAAATTTCGAATTCTCAGCACAGTTTTTATTCATGTTTAGTAACTTTATATGTACTAAATCTTAACTTGTGAACTCTGTGACATGTGGATTGTACATTGATTTTTTCTCATAATCCTTCTCAATGATCTATTATTGTCAGTAATTCTGCTTTTTCACACATTTCGAGGCTTTTTGGCAACTGAATCTATATCTGAATATGTTCTAATCATATTCAATATGAGTGGGTGTCTTCCTCTCGACCTAAGAGGTCTATTGTAACTATATTTTTGACACTGCTATGATAATTTTAATAAATCTATAACTTCTGAGTTTGTTTGTGTAGAATTAAAAAAACATCTAGCAATAATTGAACAAATCTTTTCATTGATAAGCTTTGTTCTGCCCATTTGGAAACCACACAAACACAAGGAAACTTGAAAATTAGTAAACTTCTTCTGGCTGCATTTTTTGTGATTTGAGTTTTCAAAGCACCTGCGTTTCTAGCATAATCATAACACGATTACATTGGATTCATCTACGAAAGGAAACATAATTTGTTGCGTTTTGGTATTATTACCACAGTTTATAAAAATAACTGATTAAATTGTTTTTTTTTCTACTTAGTGTTATTAAAAATTTCATTTTAATTAACTTGAGAATCAACAACAGCATGTATTTATAATCTTTTATTCTGATAAAAAAACTGTGATTTAATAGTTGAGCCAACTAATAATATGAAGGGGCTTGTGGTAACTCTTCTTATTTACTATTTAGAATTCTGATATTATATTACTCATCTTCATCTTCAATATTATTCATCTCCGAGTAAGGTTTTTAGAAGAGTGCTGTATGCTTTATCAAATTCATTAATAGACAATCGCAATTTCAAATATGTCTTAAAAATATATCTTAAACTACTCATTCCAATTTGACAAAGGTTCAAAGATTGCAAGTTTTATTTATTAACCAATGCTTCATACAACACATCTACTTATTTCATTTTATTTGTATATCTCAGTTCTGATTCACATCTGGATAAGTCCTAAAATTTTTCTCTACTTTAAGCCACAAGACAGCCATAATTTTGTACAAATCGTTTGATGATCGTGTGGCTGCAATTGTTATCATGGATGAACCAGTATAACTTATGCAAAAAAAATTTAAAGCTAAAAAGTTTTTTGTTTTTGTCGTTTTTCTCCGCCTCGTTCCAAATTTTTCTTCTGCTTTTCCCAGAAAGCTTTTACTGTCACCTAAAATTACAATATTATAAAAATCAACAACATATGTTACCTGTAAAACTATATGAAATATACTACTCGCCAACTTTCTGGAAACTTCACAACTTTTGTTAGCAACATTTCCCATTTTCACATAACTTATGTTATTTATAATTTTATTGCATCAGTTTATGTTTCTACTTAAAATTTAATTTCTATTTTATGAGGTTATTATGGTTATGGTAGGTTGGGCTAGGGTCCATTTGTGAGACCTTCAGACACATATACCTCCTAAGACGGATCCATTGTATCATACAGACTATTCTGATAGGACCTAGTCTTTGGCGTTTCGGCTGCTCCGAGCTCCCATATCTGCTATAATCAGCACAGGCTCCAAATCTGAGCCTATTCCGAGCATCTAATCCTTTAGTAACCTTGTGGCCTCACAGAAAGCCACAAGTCTTGTTAAGGGCAGGTAACTCCTGTCTCATATCTCTTAACTCCACAACTCACCCAGGATTCCTGGAACCTACACAGAAAAAGTTCTTTGAGACTACCCTGACCGGTACTGAAGGAAGCTCTAATCATAGGTTTGGGTCCCACAGACAGAGTGGATGAGCCCCTCTTGTCAAGGAGTCACTCCGTCCGTTCCCGTCCACATCTGTGTCTATTGGTCAGTACAATATCAGCAAGTGCTCTCTTGTACATTTAAGAACCAGCTTAGAGCTGACTTTTGGAGCTTCCAAAGCCGTTAGCGCTGCTTGACTGTCAGAGCGATAGTCTTGCCTGAGCCAGCCCTATCTATTATCTCCTGAACAGATACCAGGATCGCAAAGATCTCCGCCTGAAACGTTGCTCATTACTATCTCTCACAGGGTTACCAGGTCTACAGATTTTTCAGTATATCTACTTATTTTAACTTCAATTTACTGATTTACTGAAACACTATATCGATCTACTAAAAATAAATATGTAATGATAAAATCATGTTCAAAAGTGTTCATTAGTATATATCAGTGTTCAATTATTCTCAATCTACTGAAGAAATAAAATATGAACCGGCACCTTTCTGGTGCCGGTTTAGGCTTCAGTTAATTCTATACGATTACTCTTACCCTCTCTTTCTATCTCGAATGTTCGGCGTTTCGCCTGAATCGATTTCCATATTTTATTAAATAATTATGTAAATATAATTAAAAATAGAAATACATAAAATATTATTCAGAAATATAAAATAATAAAATACATATGTAATTGTATTGATTAACTATATCATGAGACGAGTGTTGCTGAAAAAACAATAATTTTTGTAAAGTTTCCAGAATTTTGACAACTAGTGTAGTTGACGAAATTGTGAGTCCGATGTCTTACATCATTGACAGTGAAAACAATTGCTTAATTTCAAAACATGAAGAAAACGAAGAAATCAACGACATTATATGCTCCTATTGACAGAGAAATTATCTAACTGTGTCTTGAATGTCTCCTATGATTATGTAGAGTAGATATAAATGTACAACAACGAAGAAAAAGATGTCCTGTTAATATATGTCATTATTATGTTTACATTGAAGAAAATGATTCTCCAGAGTTTTTAAGTATCAATGCAAATAAGTATTTTTCTAGTTTACATCATCCTTATCTTTTTGCTAAAACCGTATGTTTAAAGAGGTGTAACGGGGTTGAAATTAATATTCCAGAAATGGGTTTTCCACCGCGGCATTCAACGTAAAATTGGATCTACCTCTAGCGCTATTTCTAAGGATTGTAATAATACGCAGGTAGCTTTTTATCATTGAACTATTTACTTTGGTTGCATCACTATCCTTGATTAGTAAACAAAGACACATTTCACGCCATTATATTTAGTTTTCATGCATAATACACATTTCTCTTCACACACATGTAGGAAATCAATAATGCATTTAATATCGTAGTTTTGAAGTCTTTTGGGGGTAATCTCACGTAATTAAAAAACTCTTTTATCTGATATATATCTTCTATCTGATGATCATAACTGACAGGTAAAACATTGAGGGTGATAAAGTAAAACATTTAGTAATGTTGAAGAATATCGCTGAAACCTGTGATGTCATCAGGATTCAGTGAAGTTTGACGTCAACAGGAGCTGTGTGCACTTGGTTGGATAA